AAACCTGGGCTACGGGCCCTGCGCTGGAGTGAACTCGGGCTGCGTCGGGCAGCCTTTCCCCCCTAGCCCGACCTGCGCTGGAGATGCTCTTAATAGGAAAGGTCCTTCAAAAAAGAACAATTTAAACATCGTCGTGTAATAACCATTGAATTCCTCCCAAATACATTTTTTGTCGCCATAACTTCACTTTCGTCACCACCGTTCAATTTTATAAATTTGAACTTTGCGTTTTCTTTGGGTATCAATCATAAAACAATTTCTATTTTTTTTTTCCTAGTTAATGGTAACCGTATTTTATGCCAATTCCAAAATAATTTCTAATTTCGCTAGGAAATGCTAATCACAAAATAATTTATAATGGAAGTTATATTGTAATAAAAGAAATGGAATAAATACATTTCCAAACCATGAGAAAACTATACCAAACAAGCAAAGATTTTATTTTTCCTCCATTCATGAGAGGGTGCAATTTTATACATATTTCCAAGGTTGTGCTTACCAAACATAATACATGGTAGTATTTAGCAAACGTGGCATATTCTGAGTCGTTGATGGTTGACCATTCAAGGTCTAGTACTTTGATGTATGCTGACCCCTTTTGGGAATACTAACGTCAATCGTGTGCCTCTAATTTAGTTTATGCCTCTAGGCCTTTGGGTGGGCTCATGACAATGCGCATGTTGCATTTGTGACTCGAGGGGTGTGAAGGACGAAAAGAACTTAATTGTAACGATGATAACACTATTTTGTTATTCCCGACCAATAATGTTATGCCACATGAAAGTGCAATCATATCCAATTCTTATGGCACCTCACATATTTTAATCTCAGGTAAGATGATTCACAATATGACTCATCTTGACCTTTGTTCCTCATTGGGCTCAACTAATGGGTCGTCTAGTGATTTTAGTCCTTAAAAGTGGGCTTTTTCTCTTGAGGAATTGTTTTGTACTCATGTAGTCCTCCCTAGTAGGATTGGGTATCAACAAAACACCAAAAATCTTTAGGTCCATTATGAGTGTGGGAATGTCCTAAGTTAATAGTGTTAATTTATTAATATATAAACTAATTTTAGCAATTGTTGTTTATCCCCAAATCTGCTAGCCCTTGGAAATAAAGATATTTAATTATATACCTATTTTTAGCACTAGCGATAAAGATAAATTCTACACTATTTAATTTCTATAAACAAACCCAAAAAATGACAGCGGACCCTATTGAATTTAATTTTTATTATTAAATTTATTTGATGCCCTATTAAAAGGTTTTTAAGTCTAATGGTCCATGAACTTTAACACGATTCGCATTTTAGTCCCTCAGTTTCCAAAATTATTCTCGTGGTCCTTTAACTTCACTTTCATTATGACAAATGGTTCCACCTTCAATTTTGTTATATTTTCTGTTAAATACAGGGACAAAATGTTATTTTTGAATTATTTTTAATTTATGCACCCTTTTTTTTTTTTTTTTCATCTTCTTCCCTAAACTGTACATTGTTCCTCAATAGAACCCAAGCCAACCCAAATGTTTCTCAAACTCCACCATGTCCAAAATTTCTAGAATTCGCAAATAAATAACTCAATAAAATAAAAATGATAAAAAGCATAGAGATAGTGTGTGGGTGATGAAGGATGAGTGATTTAAGAGGAAAAGAGGAATCTAGGGTGTGTGGGTGACGATGGAGGAGGATTGAGTGAAGGGAGAAACGAGACAGAGGAGAGAGAGGGTGTCGAAGAGAAAGGAGAAAATGGGTGCAAAAAATATTTGTAAAATTTTAAATTTAAACTTAAATTGGTTTCCAAATGTCAGTATTTTATTAGATGAGGATACTGATGTGGGATGCTGATTGTGGAATCCCTGTAACATGGAAGTAGAGTGAAGAAATTTCTGATTTTGACCCTTAACAATACACCATGTGCCATATACATGCTCAAATTAAACAGAAAAAGTTCACAAAATTGACGACATGACCATTTGTCATAACGAAACTAGAGTTAAAGGACTAAGGGAACAATTTTGGAAATTGAGGGATCAAAATACCAATCGGGTCAAAGTTTAGGGACCATTGAACCTAAAAACCTCATATTGAATGTTTTGGGTTTTTTATTTATGAGGTTTTGGGATTGGGCTTGTTTTAAGAAATCGATGACAGATTTATAGGAAGTTCGAAGCCTTTTTGTTATGTTGTAAATAAGCTTTGAGTATGTTTCAAAATCCATTTCATGTATTTTTTTTTTTAATAAATAATTTGGGCCCCTATATTGGGTATAATAGTGAATTTTCCTTGGAAATAAGTCAAGAGATTATATTAAGGGAACTTCACTAATATACCCAAAATAGGAGTTGAAATTATTAATAAAGAAATGCATTTTAAAAACACACCCAAAATTCATTTACTACATAAAAATGAGAGTTGAAGTTCCTATAAATTATATGACTTCCATTGATAAACTTAAAACAAGCCCAACACCAACAACAACAACAACAACAAAAAAAACAAAAAAAAAACAAAAAACTCAAAAAAAAAACCCAAAATAAGCTCAGCAAGCTGGAAGTACATTGTTAATACCATTTCATACAAAAAATTCAAAACAAAAAAAATCCAAAAAAGTCGAGCAAGACTTCTGATATCCTTTACAAAAACCACCTCCAATTGTCCATAATTTCACCAGAAACAATCACAAAGGCAAAAGGAAATATCTCTATGAGAAAAAAAATTACATTGTTAATACTCTGTTATAGAACTATCTTCCTAGTAAAAATCACATTATGCATATCATAAACTTCAAGTGCACAACTATATATAGAGCATGCTTTGTTACTGAAATCTATTAATACTATGTCATATTAATACTATGTCATAAAAGTACACTATTAATACTATGTTATAGAAATCAACTCAATTGCATGGAATGAACAGTATAACAACTATTCATACCACTTACTGGAAGTTAACAACTACATCATTTCATTTACATAACAGGGGATAAAAGTGTACAACTCCATACCACTCAAAATCAATACTCAACAATGATAAAAATACAGAGAATGACTCCATCTCAACAATAGTTGCAGGTCCTAACATTAAGAATGATGAAGCAACCTTGGAAGCTAAAGAGTGTGTTGAGGACAAGCTACAAAAGACATTTGTAACAGATGATCATGAAGAAAAAGCTGGACTTGAAGTAGGGAAGAAGGCAAATGAGGTCCCTGGTAAACCAGACACTCCACTTATCACATAAACAAATGAGACACACTTGTCGGAAGTAGGAAATCTTGATATATTCAAAGTATATCCTGAAATTGGGTCAGAAGACATCATCAAGGAGAGTCCAAAAGAACATGAGTACCAAAACAAATTCCTTGAGGAAACTCCCGAAGCTAGTGACATTGCAAGTGAAATAGTTAACCATGATGAAAATTCATAACGACCTTTTGGCAGTCCATGCATGAAGATAGTAACAAGGGAATCACAACAGTGTGGTTTGTTTGACATACTTTCCCTGCCAATATCAAAGAGTTACAGATAGTAACAAGGGAATTGCCTCATAAGCATCAAAATGAAGATAATAAGTTATAATGATCAGCATTTCCAAATTGTCAATCCCTCCATCTATTTCCAGTTCGACATATAAATTGTCTAAATTTCTTCGGCTAAATTAAGCAAGTCCTTAATCAACTCAGAGAGATAAAAGCATTCCCAAAATTGTTCAGTTAATGTATTCATACATACATGAATATATATGGATTAAAAGTAGACTTGGTCATGCTCAACCCAAAATTGCTCAGTATATATATTTATACATACATACTAATTGGTGAATTGGTGAATTGTTGAATTAAAGGTAGACTTGGCTTAAATTACTACATTCCTGGAAAAATTCAGCAGCAAAATCAACAATTTGCAACCGAAAATTTACCAGCAAAACCAGATGATAATGCAAA